TGTCATCATATTACTGTCTTCCTGACAGGCTAGTTGGCATCTTGCCTAAAGGTGGACTGATGGTGCAGCCTGACAGCCCCACCCTGTTCACCTGGGCTCCACAAAGGGTGGTTGCCACCTGGAACTGGCAGGTGTACTCTGGGGTGGAGGGACTGTGTGAGTCTCTCAGCCCCTCTGAACGGCTCAGCCAGTGCCCGTCTGTGGGAGACTGCTTTGTCTTCTGTCTCTTCTGCAGGGGTCTGAGGACTCTGAACTGTATCACAAAGCACTCTGGGGGCCTGTGGGAGGGGTATGTACCTGCATCTTTTTCTGGAAGAGATCCTCAGAGAAGAGAGTGGCCCAAATGTGCAGGAGTGCCTGTTTTTTTATACACAATTGAAGTTTTTTTTACAGGTAATTGATGGAGAAGCCCGAACAAATAACCTAACACGTGTGCCTTGCTGGTGTCCTGAAGGTACAAGCATGCTCCTAGGATTTGTAATGGCTCCTGCTTTTCTTTGACTTCTGTCACATAGGAAGCAAACAGCAAGCAGAGGGATCTGTGCAAATTGTGGGGTCAGAAGCCCCAAGCAGAAGGGTCCAGGCTGGTAGGCAGTCTTGGTCAGGAAGGTGTCTCTGAGCAGAGACCCGACAGAGGCCGGGGTGCCATGCTTGTGCAGGGGGATGGAACAGTGATGCCCCTAGGCCTCACCAGGACCACATGTGCTGAGGTTGCAATCTGGGGTGGGGTAGGGGTTTGGGGATGAAGGGTGTCTGGGTCTATAGAGTGCTGGGGAGCCTTTGCTGGGAGGCACAAGGTGGCTGGGGAGAGCAGTGACAGGTTAATCCCCCCCTTGCCTGTTTTTGTTTTTGTTTTTTTGAGACAGCTCCAGCTGGCCTGGAATTCACTATGTAGACCAGGCTGGCCTTGATTTCACAGAGATCTGCCTGCCTCTGCCTCCCAAGGGCTGGGATTAAAGGCATGCACCACCACGCCTGGCTTTTCAAAATTGTTTTTGACACAGAATCTCATTCTGTACTGCAGACCGGCCTTGAATTCCTATGTGTGAGATTTAGGAGGGCAGAAAAAGGAAGGAGTTTAAAGTTAAGAAATAAGAGCCAGACCCAGACCTGCAACAGGCAAGGGCTGGTGTCTTGTCCATGGATACAGACATCAGCAAGCATGAGCAGAGCATAGTTTTTATACACGGACTCTGCTGAACACAACTGTAGGAATTTGTCAGGTGTGTCAGTGTCCTTGGGGTACTTGAGGTTGACTTTGCAAACAGTCCTGTAGTGATCAGTTGATAAGTCCAGGAGCCAGAGCAGGCTATGGCACAGCAGGAGTTAAGTGCCCCTGTACCCAGTCTCTGTCAGCCAGGAAAGTGACCAGTTGATAAGGCCTGATCAAAGGCCAAGCTGCCAATTTGGACCATTTCGCTACCTTGAGGAATTCCTGTAAGGAAGCTTACTCTCTTGCAGTTTACACATTCTATCACTAAGACTTCTGCCTCAGTCTCCCCAAGGCTGGGATCATAGACGTGAGCAGTATTTGGGCAGTGGTGAGCACCGGACATGACTGCAGTTGTCTCCCTGGTACTCAGGAGTAGAGTTTTCTTAGCTGGGAACAGCCCTGCCCCCACTTCTCAAAGCACTTTTTCCTTCCCCAGGTCTCTGATTCCTGGAATGACGATGTTAGGCCCAAAGGTCAGGCCCTGGGGTGAGGAATTGGGGCTTGATAACCATTTTATGGCCTTGTACCAGAAATGTGTTTCCTCTTCCTGGCCCTCAGTCTTCCCTGTGTACATACTGTAGGAAGGTGCCTGGAAGCACCTGCTGGGAACAGGTAGGGCCCAACCATGGAAGGGAGATGAAGTATCTCAGTTACCCTGTTCCCTGGCTCCCGAGTTGGAAGGCTCCAATGGAGAAAGAGCTGCTCCCAGCATCTGGCCATGCGGAGTTCCTGGGACACACTCCAAGTGATCACTGTCCATAGCATAGGCACACACTCAACAGGGCTTCATCTGTCTCTGAGTTTGCCAAAGTAAGTGTGTGTGTGTGAGAGAGAGAGGAGAGAGAGAGAGAGAGAGGAGAGAGAGAGAGAGAGAGAGAGGAGAGAGAGAGTCTTGTGTAGCTCAGGCTGGCCTCGTTTGCTATACCTCTGACCTTGAACATCTGATCCCATTGCTCCTACTTCCTACATGCTAGGTTACAGGTTAGCCCAGGCTGGCCTGGAACTCAGTCTGCAGCCCAGATTGGTCTCAAACATGAAATCTCCTGCTTCAACTTACTGAGTTTGGGGATAACAGGCATGTGCCACCACGCCTGGCAGTTGTTTTTTTTTTTAAGATGGGGTCGTCTTTTGTAGTCCTGACTGGCCTAACAGAGATCTGCCTGCCTCTGCCTCCTGAGTGCTGGAATTTCACATGTGCAGGGATCAAGCTTGGGGCTTCCTTTGTGCATGCTAGGCAAGCACTATACCAACAGCCCACCCCAGCCTCTCTTGCTTTCTCACAGAGAGCTCAGATTGACTGCAGGAGCATGTGTAGGACCATCTCCGCTCTCTCAGGCAGCTGCAGTCTTTGGGCTTCAAGTTCAGCTCTTTGTCTTTTACCTACGCTGTACTCTGTGGTGAGTGCCAGGTGTGGCAGTGGCTGCAGTGGCCTCCCTGTCCCCCACTTGCTGTGGTATCCAGGGCTGCAGAACTTCTTTTGGCTAGGAACAGTCCTGCCCCTAGTCCACTTCCCAAATCACTTTCCTCCCCAGCCTGTCATTCCTGCTGGTTCCTGGAACTGTGGAGATGTTGAGCCCAAAGGTCGGCTCCTGCAGTGAGGAGTTGGGCCTTGATAATATAGGGTAGAATGTGATCTGTCAGCATGTGCCTGTGAGGAAGCAGTAGAGGGAAGCAGAGGTCACTTCCTCGTAGGGACAGTAGTGTCCCAGGGAGGGGGTTCTAGAGAAACATTTTTTCTTCTATATACGAAACATAGTATTTGTAGGGACAGTGTGCAAGCAGATGAACAGCCAGCTGGGAGTCTGTAATGACAGGTTGAGAGGCAGCCATGCTACCTGCCTCCAGCAGTGACCCTGTGGACCCCTGTGAGAGAACGAGCCCATGTTCCAAGAGTTTGCAAATGAAAAGGAGCTTGGCACTCCTTCCCTTCCTCACTAGACTGTGGTCTGGAAGCCTTAGGATGGCAGGGTCCCAGTGGCAGGGTGCAGATTAGCCTGACCCTGTCACCTGTGGGCATAGTGGCTGCCCTCACGTGAGCTGGCTTAGGAGGCTGGTTGGCAAGTCGCACTGAGCAGACCCAGTGCAGTGCCAGTGAAGATGCTGCGTGGAGGCCGACGTCATGGGCAAAGCTGGGCCCTGCAGTGGCTGGTGGGAGGAAGCTCTGCCCTTTTTTGGTCTGAGGCTGCAGGGATGCCTGCCCTGGGTCCTTTCCCAGCTCCGTGCTCTGGGGAAAACTGAGGTGGGCATGGAGGGAGCCTGAGCATGTGAAGAGCCAGTGGTGTGGGACAGCAGGTTTGGCCTGGACCCCTGGGTAGCTGAGTCATTTGAGCTGAGCTGCCAGGGAGAAGGGACACTTGCCCTCTGGTGGCCTCTCAGTTGCCTGCAAGGCCAGAGGCCCTGCTGATAAAGCAAGTCAGGCAAGTGGCTTTGATGTAACCTTCTAGGGCCAGGCACCCGTTAACAGGAATAAGCAGTGGCCCTTGTCACCTCTCACCCAAGAGGTTCTTGGAAACTGCTCTGCTCATGTGAGCATTAGGAAGTGGTCGTCTATTTTAGAAGCATGTGTGCATTACATACCATCCACTTGCCTGTGATGTTCACATGGGCCTGTGGGCCCACTGTGAGGTCTTGTTTGTGGAAGAGCTGTGGTGGGAAGCCATGGGGATCTGGCCCAGTGCAGACCTGCAGAGGCCTGGGAACACTTGGTCTTGATGCTGGCTGGGTGTAAACTTTCTCTGGCTAGTAGGGGTACTGCAGAGGGTAAAGGCCGGGCCCAGCCATGCTCTGAAGAGGATGTTCTGAAGAGGAAGAAGTACTGGGTAGCACATGTCCTTGGGAGGCTAGTTTTGGGGCAATCTCTTTAGGAGAAGTAATTCTGTCAGAGGCTGGGCTGTGAAGCTGGCCCTGGAACTTGGGGAGGGTGTGGAATTGAGTGTGGAATGGGACCAGCCGTGGTCATCCCAGCTGATCCTTTAGATTTCTGCTAGAGGGGTTGGAGAGCTGGCTCAGTGGTTGGGAGTACTGACTGCCCTTTCAGAGGATCTGGGTGTGGCACCCAGCACCCACATTGGGTGACCCACAACTGCTTATAACTCCAACCTGGGGGGCGGGGAGCTGATGCCTCTGGCTTCTGCAAGCACTTGCACTCTTGTGCACATACTCACACACATATAATTAAAAACAATAAAAATAAATCTAAAAAGAGATTCTGCTAGAACCCATGACCTTCATTGCAGAAAGGGCCTGTGCTGCCCCCTATGTGGGCCTGTGCTGCCCTGTGCTTCTGTGACTGTGGTTCTCTATTGGCCTGCCTCTGGCAAGGACGGGGCCAGTGCTTGTCCGAGTGACACCGACACCTTCTGGTGTCCTGAGGTGGAGAAGGTGGATGGTCACTGCTGTGAGGGGAGTTGCTGCTTGCTCTTCCTTGTAGGCTCCTAGGAGACATGCTTGAGCTACAGAGAGCTGGGGCTCTAGGGAGTGGCTCAGGGAGCAGTTGGAGCCAGGGGTGTCAGAGAAGCCCAGGGACAGCATCGCCAAAGTTCCCCTGAAGATTCCAGCTCCTGACCTGCTTGGACCAGGCTGCTCAGGGAGCAGCAGAGTCTGAAGAACAGCTTGTACTGGGTGGGCGGATCAGCACCTGGGCGGGCGGGCGGGCGGGCAGCCTGGTGTGGTCCAGGTGCCTCATGGCTCCCTGCCTGTCCTGCTCTCCTCCTAGGTTGACAGTGGGCATCAAGGACCTGGCAGATGCTGTGCTCACCTCTGTCTGCACGTCTCCTTTTCCCTGCAGGCCTCTGGCTGTACCTGGCAGGGAGCAGCCTGCCCTGTCTCACGCTGATTGGCTCTCCTAATTTTGGGTACAGGTCAGTTCACCGGGACCTGGAGGCCCAGATTGCCATTGTGACAGAGAGCCGAGCCCTGCAGCAGCAACTCCATCAGGTTGGTTGAAGTGGGGAGAGTCTTGGGTGCATAAGGGTGCAGCTGGTGCCATGTCATTGGCCATTGTCAGTCGAGACAGTGGTGAGACTGCAGACTGAAAGACCCTGGGTCCCCCCCTAAATTGAGAGAAACCTTGGAAGGCCATGCCCTAACCACTGCAGCTGCTGGGATAGGCCTGTACCCCTCCTGGGGACCTTTCCTTTTGCTTTGCGGGAAGAGATCACTGGTTCCTCACAGGGATGTGGTACTGCAGGACAGGGTCCAGTCTCCCTGGATGAGGGCGAATGTCAGGGTCAGTAGTGGCTTTGCCCTCGGTATGTTTGGAGATAACAGAAAGCTCTGAGAATTCATCATGCTTTCTCATGACTCAGTATTTGACTGCCTGCAGCAGTGCCCAGACGTGTGAGGCCATGTGCTTTAGTCTCCAAAGTTTGTGTCCTTTGCATGAACCTCTCTAATGGGATGGGCTAGAGACCCCTTGGAATCCTGGAGTGCAAGACGTTTGCTCCCAACTGGACCCTGTCAGGAGCATGCATACCAACTTTATCATAGTCGTTGTTGTGTGTTGGGGGATGAGTGTGTGAGTGTGGTGTACATGTGCCACAATGCCTGTGTGTGGGTGTGGTGTGTGTGCCACAAGGCTTGTGTGGGTGTGGTGTGAGTGCCACAAGGCCTGTGTATGTGTGGTGTGTGTGCCACAATGCCTGTGTGTGTGTGAGTGTGGGATGTGTGTGTGTGCCACAAGGCTTGTGTGTGTGTGGTGTGTGTGCCACAAGGCCTGTGTGTGGGTGTGGTGTGTGTGCCACAAGGCTTGTGTGGGTGTGGTGTGAGTGCCACAAGGCCTGTGTGTGTGTGGTGTGTGTGCCACAAGGCCTGTGTGTGTGTGGTGTGTGTGCCACAAGGCCTGTGTGGGTGTGGTGTGTGTGTGCCACAAGGCCTGTGTGAGTGGTGTGCATGTGCCACAATGCCTGTGTGTGTGTGGTGTGTGTGCCACAAGGCCTGTGTGAGTGTGGTGTGTGTGTCCACAATGCCTATGTATGGGTGTGGTGGGCATGTGCCAGGAGGCCTGTATATGAGTGTGGTGTGTGTGTGCCACAAGGCATGTGTGGAGGTTAGAGGTCAACCTATGGAAGGTCGTTCTTCTACCTTGGGTTCCAGGGACTGAACTTGGGCTGTGAGGCCTGTGTGGCACATGCTCTCACTGACCCACACACTGACTTTTAGATACCAGAGTTTGGGGAGTCACTGCTGTTGAGCTGTCAGAGCCGTTGCTGATGGACAAGGAAGTGGTCACTGCCTTGTTCTCTGGACCTGCTACTGTGTCTGGAAATCTTGTCGCTAATGAGGGGCCAGGTGCCAGTAAGGGGTACATGACCAGGCAAGAGGAAGTGACAGCAGCCATGCCTGGGGGCCAGTGGGATGACTGGGTTTGCCAGCAGATGTCCCCCTGCAGAAAGACTATGGCAAATGACTAAGGAAGGCCCCACATGCTGAAGGCTTCCCCTAATAGGTAGCAGCTGGCCTGGGAGCCTTGCTGTGGGGAAGACAGCCTGCAGCTCTCAACGTTGTCACTAGTATAGGGCCATGTGTACATGCCTCCATGGGAATCACTGTTAATGATTCTGGCCAAGGGCAGAGATGAGTTCTGGGGGAATCTGGGCTGGTCTGGGGAGCAAGTACCCAGGCCTGTGCCCTGAGTCCGGGTGCTGACCCATCCCCACTTCCTGAGTTGGGGAGGTAAACCCACATCCTGGATCTTGAGAAAGGCCAGGCTGCTATGGTCTGCTGATTTCTCAAATGGTATGCTTGGGATGTTTTCTTCCCAAACCTGGGTCCCAGGGGCTTGTGACTGGGAGGCCAGCAGCTACTGCTGTGGGGCTTCATTCTTAGGGTGTTGATTCTGTGTCTGTGAAGAGTAGAAGGTGCTTCTGGATGGTTCTTCTGTATCCTGCAGCATGCTTCAAGGCCTGCAGCTGGCCTGACTCTCCAGTGCCTGGTTGTTGAGTGCTACATGATCTTGATGCCCAACCCCAGTTCAAAGTCCCTGCAGCCTATGGTCCCCGTACTCAGAAGCCCAACTGGAGTTATCCTGGGGCTCAGGAGAGGGCCTTGTGTGTCCCATAGAGCTGGAAAAACGAGATATTTTTATCAGAGCCCAGAGTCCCTCCCCTGACTTAGTGCAAACAATAAAAACTGAAAGCTTCCTGGTTTTGTTCAGAGAACAGTTTTCCACTCATGACCCAAGAGCGACTCCCTTGAACAGCCCTGTGACCTCCACCAGCTGACTTCCTTCTCCATCCCTGCTCTGGAGTCTGAGGACACCGAAGCATTTCTGGTAATTTAATTGCAGTCTTGGCTGGGTGTTCTTCTGCAAACCAGCCACTTGAGACCAAAGCCGGCTCCTCCGCAGGCACATCCCATAGAGTGTTATGCTTGTGTTTGTGACGTGTGGAACCGGGATGGAAAAGCCAGCTGTGGGGCATGGATAGGAGCCCCAGGATGCTGCCGTGGTGATGAAGGCCGAGAGTGTAGGGATGGTGCAGGAAGAGATGTTGTAAGGTTCCAAACTCCATCCTTGTGGGCAAAGCCTTGGACACATTCTGCAGTCTTGGGATAGGGTTCCATCCTCCTACTCTCTGGGTTGGAGTTGCTGCTGAGGATCGTCTCCCCATGCTGGCTTCTGCTACAGTAGATTGTTCGTAAAACAACAGCCGTTTCTCCCAAAAATCTGAAGTAGGATTGAAGTAGGATTGCAGGCCATGCATGTATATGTTTTGGTTTTATTTTGTTATCAAACTGTTTGTGTTTGTGTATATATGTGTGTTTGTGGCAGGAGTGTGGAAAATAGAGGACACCTTGAGGAGTCAGCTTCTTCCACTATTGTATGTTCTGGGGATCCGACTCAGGATGTCAAGCTTAGTGGCAAGAGCCTATACCCGCTGAGCCACCTCACCAGCCTGCATGTATATTTTTATTTGTATTTTCTTTTTTTTTTAACTTTTACAAAAACTTTATTGAGAATTTCATACATGTGTATGAGTTGTTTTGATCAAACCCACGCCCACTCCCTCCCCTCCAACACCTCCCATATCTCCCCATCACTTGTTTCTTTTTCTTTTCTTCTTTCATTTGTTTATTTTATGGAGCTTTTGGCTACTCCAACATTCCCCCCTCTGAAGAGGTAACCCTACAATATTTTAAGGATTAGATACAAGCTCCCAAATGCTTTTGACATTTTTGGCCTTTGGAACAGAGTATGTTGCTAACAGTCCCAAGGACATTTTAACTGCCTAGCCTTCCTACCTCCTTTTTTTTAAAAAAAAAATTTTTATTATTTTTATTTTATGTGTATGCACGTATTGCCTGCATGTAGGTGCATCCATGTTGTACAACACCCATGGAGGACAGAAGAGGTTATTGGATCTCTTGTGACTAGAGCTATGGACAGTTGTTAGCTGCCATGTGGGTGCTGGGATTCAAACTTTGGTCTTCTGCTAGAACAGCCAGTGTTCTTAACTGCTGAGCCATCTCTCCAGTCCCATATATTTTATTTATTTTTGTGTGTGTTATGCCTGCATGTGTGTTAAGGGCATGCATGTCATGGAACGCCTGTCAGAAGAAGGCATTGGGCACCCCAGAACTGGAGGAGAAGAAAGTCTTTGAATCGTGACTAGGAGATGCGAAGGAGAAGTAAAGGCAAGAATAATTAGCATTACAAGTTCTAGACAGGGAACTAGAAAAAAGTCAGAACAGGGCAATTTTCAAATGTTCATATGAGAGTCCATTGGAATTTCTTCACAAGGGCTTCCAAAAGCATCCCTCTATTGGGTTCCTCCTCATTTTTCTTTTATCTTCCAAGGCTGGACTCTAGAGTGATGGATTCAGGATTTGCCTTCAGGTATTTTGATAGCACCACGTGGAGGCAGGATCCAGGGGCTCTCAGGCAGTCCCCTGGGTTCTCAGGCCCTCTGCTAGATGGAGGCCAGAGGGAGGCCAGAACTTGGCACTCTGGTGGTCATGCATGCATGTTTTTAAACTTGGTTTTAAAAGTGAAAGTATAGAATTCTCTGCAACAATCAGAAGGAACTAATTCACTGACTGGAGCTCATTTTAATCACCCTTACCTGTCTTTTTTCTGGGAGCCTATGGAGACATACAACTTGTTAGAAAGTGGAATGGGGCTGGAGAGATGTTTCAGTGGTTAAGAGTATGTACTGCTTTTCCAGAGGACTCAAGTTCAGTTCCCAGCACCCACGCCAGGTAGCTCAACAATACCCTGTAATTCCAGCTCTAAGGGGATCCAATGCCTCTGGCCTCTTTGGGCACACACACGCACCCCCCATATACATGATTAAAAAGAAAATGTACCTTTAAAAACAAAAGAAAGAGAATGGAATTAGGAGTACTTACTGGTCTTCCACGTCCGTAAATACCAAGTCCAAGGATTCAGCCACCTGTGGATGGGGAATGCCCAGAGGAACCCTCTCTCCGCACAGATGCTCCCAGGCTTTACTGTCCCCTGAACAGAGCGGTACCGCTCTTTAATTACATTTGCATTTGTAGTAGGTGTTCTGGGTATTACAGCCTCAAGTTGAGTGAAAAGTACGTGAGGGGGCTGGGTTAAGTACGTGAGGGGGCTCAGGGGTTAAGTACGTGAGGGGCTGGGGTAAGAGCATGTACTGCTGTTGCAGAGGACCTGAGTTTGGGTCCCAACACCCACATCAGGAGGCCCAAAACTGCCTGTAACTCCAGTTCCAGGGGTATCCGACCCCCTCTTCTGGGCTCTGCAGGCACGTGCACTCATGCACACAGGTGCCTGCAGAGACACATGCTCATGTCTGAGGGAGCTAGGCCTTGTGGCTCAGGCCTGTAATCCCAGCAGTTCCCTGGCTGAGGCAGGAGGATTGTAAGTTTAAGGCCACCCTGAGCAACTTAGTGAGATGCTATCTTAGAGGTGTTTTGTTTTGTTTTGTTGGTCATTTTTGAAACAGGGTCTCCTTGTAGCCCCGGCTGGCCTGGAACCACGTAGACCAGTCTGGCCTTGAACTCACAGAGATCTACCTGCCTCTGCCTCCCAGTGCTGGGATCAAAGGTGTGTGCCACTGCGCCTGGTGCCTTAGGTGCTTAGAGTTTTTTTTGTTTTTTTTTAAAGCGTGGGGGGACTGGAGCTATAGTTCTGTGTAGAGAGAGCACTTGCCTAGTATTCACAAGGCCCTGGGCACAGTGGCCAACACTGTAAGAGGATGCGTGTGGACTACATGAAAATGCTCCACATTGGGTGTCAGGGACTTGAGCCTTAGTGGGTCATGGATTCTGGGGCTCCTTGTCCGGCTCTCTCGCCTGTGTGTCATGAACTTTCCTGTGTGTTGCCATCCGTGGTGTGGTAGTACAGGACCACTGCTGCTTTGGGTGGTTCCTGAGTGACTGTTGGGTGGCCTTTCCCACTGTGAATGCTGCCACAGGAGTCTGTGAAGCCTGGCAGCTGGTTCTGAGTGCAGAGCTGCTTTCTTGGGGTGAACATGCAGGCAGACCTCTTCAGGACTTATGTCTGTTGTCAGGCTTAGAAAGGACCCTTTGCATCACCCATGTATGTTAGCCGGGATGCCAGCCTTGCAGAGGGCCTTGTTGCAGTTTGACAGAGGAAGTGTGCCTGCTGGAACCCAAAGCCTCTGCACATGCCAGGCTCACATACCACTGAATAGGACCCCTGTCCAGTTCCTTACTATTTTAACTTACACTAGTTCATTTAGTGAGGATAAACTTCTAAACTAATTTTCCCTCCAGGTATATTTCTTTAGCTAAATCAAAGAAGTTTTGAGACTGAGCCAGTTTGGCTGAAGTTCCAGGAAGCCAGTCTTAGCTGGTCTGTGTTGTGTGGCAGTGTCTGCTGGGCCCCTGCTGCTGGAGCATCTGCAGCATCTCTGATCAGTCTCACAAATGTGTAATTGTTGTCCGGGCTGGTCTGAGTGAGTCACAGGCCAATCCACCGTGTGTGCTTCTTCCTCAGGAGCAAGAGCAGCTCTACCTGCGCTCAGGCGGCGTGTCCTCCACTACCTTTGAGCAGCCAGGTCGGCAGGTGAAGCTGTGGGTGAAGATGGTGACTCCACTGATCAAGAACTTCTTCTGAAGACACACAGGTGCTGCCTCTCTACGTGGTTTTGCTGGGAACATAGTAGGTCAGGAAGTGCTCCAGGGACTGGACCCTGAGGGCTCTTCCACTGTGTCCTTGGCTTGGCACAGAGCAGTGTCTGTCTGTGGACAGCTGCTGTCAGGGGTTGTAAAGCTGGGTGCTAACCCTTGTAGCTCAGTCACCTCCTCTCAGGTGCCTTCTGCTCTCTGGGCTGGGTACATACGGGGGTGTACAGTGCCTTCTGCTCTCCCTGCCCAGGGGTCCTGGGAGGCTCAGGAGCCCAGGGAGCAGAAGGGCAGTCTGTTTGTCCTTCCTCCCTCATGTGCGTGGCCCCGCAGGGACAATTCCCAGGAGAGGAGGATCAGGTGGAGGAGGAGCTCTTGGACTGAGAGTGGCTCTGGCTGGCTGCCTGGTCAGCTGCAGCTTAGAGGATGAGGTGGTGGCTGAGCCAGACCTTGGGGCTGCTGTCTTGTGTCTCCTTGACGTTTCTGTGACGTGCTGATGGTGAGTGTGATGTTCTAGATGTGTGGGCAGTTAGTCATAGGCTACACTGTCCACCCAGGAGCCAGTGCCTTGTAAGAATATGGATGAAGGTCCCTGAGCTGCCCTGCTCTTCAGGTCTGGGCAGGGCTGGCCATCATGACCCATGGGGCCTCTGGACCCCAAATATACCCTGAAGGCCCCACAGGGTCAGTCCTTGGTGCCTCTGCTTTGGCTTGTGGGGAGGAAGGGTGAGGGGGTCACAGAGGAGTTGGGCCTGAGATGATGTGTGGGTTCTTTTTTTTTTTTGGTCTTTTTTGAGACAGGGTCTCCTCGTAGCCCCAGGTGTCCTGGAACTCACTATGTAGACCAGGCTGGCCTTGTGGCCTTGAACTCATAGAGATCAGAGATCGGCCTGCCTCTGCCTCCCAAGTGCTGGGACTAAAGGCATGCGCCACCACGCCTGGCTGGTGTGTGGGTTCTTAATGACGCCCTATGTCCATATGTTTGCATGGCTCTCAGCTCCTGCTCTCTGTTCCCACAGCTACAACTTTTTGGAAAGCTTTGTAGCCCTGGCTGGCCAGAAACTCACTATGTAGACCAGGCTGGTCTTGAACAGAGATCTACCTGCTTCTGCCTCCCTAGTGCTGGGATTAAAGGCGTGTGCCACCATGCCTTGCTTAAGACTTGCTTTACATCACGTAGTTTTTTCTCATTATTTTAAATAACACTAGACAAAGAGAGTGAGATAGCTCTCGGAGACCCACAGTGTGCGGCTTATTCCTGCCTTCCCCTCCTGGCAGCCCCTGCTTCGTTCCTTCTGACACTCATATCCCTTGTTTGTAAACCACATATGCATGGGGTTGTCCTCCTAAAGTGGACGCAGCTGTGCCAGTATCGCACCTGGTACAGAACTCAGCCAGAGTTCCTCATGTTGTCGGATGACCAGAAGATGTTCGTAATCCCAGGGAGGTTGGCCGAGGTTGGCCCAGGCTGGCCTTCAATTTGTGGCAATCCTACCTTAGCCTCAGGTGCTGGGATTGTAGATGTGTGCCACTGCACCCGGCTCATTTTCGTTTTTTTGATTTGTTTGACATAAGATTCAAATAAGGTCTCCAGCATATGATTGGTTGATTGGCAGCTCGTGTTGTCGGTCCACATAGCACCTCCACACGTCCCCTGCCTTATAGAAGCCTGCTCATCTGCCCAACCTCTTCTCCAGGGTGTCTGGGTGCCTCTGGCAGCAGCTGCTCCTTTCTACCCCCTGTGGCCGACAGCTGTGATGGTCACCTCTTGTGAGATCTGAGCTGTAGTCGCCAGCTGGCCTTGTCATCACAGCCTGATCGTGGCACCTGGGGCTCCAGAGCTGGGAACACCTGGCCTAAGCTGGGGCAGCTGCCGGCTGTCTGAGAACAGAGCAGAGCCCCTCAGTGCTGTTTGCCTTCAGGGACACTATTAAATTATCCTGTGGGGCAAGTGATGGGAGTCACAGGAACTGCAGGGCACTGGGCTTGTGTTTAGAGAGGCGTACACAGCGCTTGCAGCTTCTGCAGGGCTAGAGTGGAAAGCCCCGGGCGCAGGCTGGCCTAAGTCGCCCTCCTGAGCTGCCTCTCCGCTGCCTCTGGTCCCTGCTCAGGCCTTGCTGGTGTCCTGGGTAGGTTGTCCCTCTGGCTCTTCAGATCCAGTCTCCTTAATTCTGCCCCAGGCAGCAGTGTCTCTTCCAGACCCCTGCCTTCTCGCCACTGCAGTGGGGCCCACAGGTGACTTGACTCATCCTTGGGAAGTTCGGAGATAATTTTGTCTGACAACTACGCAGGGTGTGTGTGTGTGTGGAATAAATTACTGCTGCACTTCAGGCTCCAAAGGCAAAACTGAAAAAAAGCTCATTTTGTGGTTATTACCGGGGACTGCCTTGGGGTCTTGCTGGCTGTCGGCTGCGGGGCTGCAGTGACCCTTCTGCCGCAGAGAGAGGCAGTTGCTCAGTGGCCAGGCTTGGCCTTTAACTGCTCTGTCCTTCCTTCTGTCTGGGAAGAGGGGGAGGGGCTATGGGGCTGCTCCTTGCTCCCCAGGAGCTCTGGGCTTTGGGGGCTGTCCTGTCACCCCGGGATCCTAGTCTCCAGTCTCCTCTCTTGTGTGCAGCCTGGCCACTCTGCTGGGCATCAGCCTGCTGTGTCTGAGGCCTGGGCTGTACCCTCCCTGCTGAGGTGCTCGGCTTGAGGTGGACAGTCATGACCAGTGGGGCCAGGCTTGCAGGTGGACAGACGTGAACAGTAGGCCCAGGCCTGGTCTTTCAGGGCAGCCTTTCAGCCAGCGCTACCTGTAGCTGCCATCAACTGGCAGGTGCCCACTGTGTAAAGAGGTCGCGTCCCCAACCCTAACAGCTCTATGTGGGCATCAGGGTGTGTGTGCATGTGTGTGTGTTCATAATCCTGAGCTGACCTCTCTGACAGGATGTATGTGTGTATGCATGTGTACGTGTGCATGTGTGTTCATGGTACTGAGCTGGCCTCTCTGACAGGTTGCAGGTGTTTCTCCTGTAGTTGCCCCAAACTCAAGCTGAAGGACTCATCCAGGAGAGGAGCCTGGTTTTCCTTATGCTGGGACTGCGGTTCACTACCCAGAGCTCCCTCTGGGCCTTGGAGTTGGGTGGAAGCAGCCACTGAGTAGCCAGTGGCCATCCCACAGCTGGGCACAGCCCATGGTCACAGTGGCCTCTGCTGTCTCCACTGCCCTAGGCAGTGGGACTGAGCAGGGAGCAGCAGCTGCCAAACAGCTGGGTTGCTCTTTCTGGTTGTGGGGCGGAGGCTGGCACTGCTGTGATTACAAAAGGTTCTTGTTCTTGGGCAGTGTGGACACCGCCCACACCATGGCCACTCCTATTTATGAGGGAGCTCCCTATGCCCTTGCTGTGGGGCTTGGGGCTTTTTGCACAGCATCAGGCCAAAGGTGAGCACTGCGTCCTAATCCCATGTACTGCTTGTGTAAGTTAAACACACCTGGCTCCCGGGGAGTCAAGGTTTGGGGTTTGTTCCCTAGGAGGCTTGTTCCTGGCTACTGGGGACAGAGCCTCACTCCCCGCTGTGCCAGACCTTGGGTGACATCAGGCACTAAGCGGAATCAGCCAGGCACAGCCAAGTGACTGTGATCGTTTTACTCTACAGCACCCCTTCCATGCCTGCCCTCGCCCACCTCCACCCTCTTGGTAGTCCAGGTGTGCCAGATTATGTAAGAGTCAGAAATAGCCATCAGTTCCTGTAAAGAAGGGACAGCTGCAAGGCCATTTCTGGTTGGGATGGCGTTGTGGCCAGGCTGCTGGTCTGGCCCTGGCGTCTACACCTGCAGGAGCAGTGCCACAGCCGCCAGGGTCCATCTGGCTGCTTTCTCTTTGGTCTTCAGGTTGAAGGTCCAGACGTAGGTGGGGCCTCGGATGCGCGTCTTGTACACTGGGCACTCATAGATGTTCTTGGTCTCCACTCGGTCCGCAGGGATGGCCTTGATGAAGATGACGGGCATGGCTGGCGTCAGATCCTTCAGCTTTGCTTCGGCGATGACTCCGGTCTGGGTATCCCAGCGAGCTCCTGTGGGGGCAGTGTGGCGAGGTCAGGGCAGCCCTGGTGGGCCTGAGCTGTCTGGAGTGCTGGCACCGAGGCACTGGCAGGGAGAGGCCTGGCCTTGCACCTCCCCAACCTTTCAGGGACAGGCCAGTATCCCGTGACCCCTGAAAAGTTCTGGCCAGGTGCCAGGGGCTGAACGTGCCAAACACGGAGGTGTGAACTGAGGACCTGCTGGCGGACTGTGCGTGTGCTAACGGCTCTGAGGAACAGCCTGGCACTACAGCTCTGGGGCTGCGTCTGTACAGATCCGTTGTGTTTTCAGAGCCTCATCTCAGCCTTCAGTGGCAGGAAATTGGAAACACAGCTGATGATTGCAGCTATGATCCCTGACTCCGTGTGAAATGTCTACCCGGAGTGCACGTATGCTGTAAACTGTGTATGTGCCTATGTAAACCCTGTCTGCTGCTCTGTCTCATCATCCTATTTAATGATGTTCATATTTCCTGTGTAGTATCCCACAATAAACATGGAGAACAGTTACTGCTGTGCTTGTCCTGGCTGATGTGGGAACCAGGGTGTCTGAGCCTCAGCTGGCCTGGTCCCGATACTTCACAGGGATGTTAGGTGTCAAATGGGACTGGTTGGATGGATCTGAGGAACTGGCCTTGCCTGATGCTCCTGTCCCGTGCTCCTGCCCTGTGCTCCTTGGTAGTAGGACTAGGGGATTATTGACGCTTAGAAGCCTTCTCTAGGGTTTAGGGCAGCTCTGAGCTGCCGGCTCACGTGCCTATGCTGTGTGTCCCACCTGCCTCCAGCTATGCCCAGCCTGTCTACACTTAAGAGCTGGTTTCTTGTGCAGCTGACTGGGAGTTCTTGGGACAGACCCAGTCACCTTCCATGAAGAGTCCATACACATAGGCGCCCTCTCGGGGGGGAGCAGTCATGTCCTCCCGGTTTTTCTTGGTCACTTCCACAGACAGACACATCTTGTCCAAGGGCCACTCGTTCTTCCTGGCCATGGACTGCATGATGGCTGTGAGGAATGACTGCGGGTTGAAGAAACCAGCCAGCCACACCGTGGTGGGCAGAGCAAAATCCGTTGTCCAGGCCTCCAGCTCCTGGCAGGAAACAGTAGTTGTTGAGGGCGTGGATGGGAGGCGGGGATGGGGGACGGGTCTGGGCTGTGGCTGAGCAGGCTGAGGCCTAGCTTCCATAGGAGAGTCTGCAGCCTTCCAGAATGTTCTGTCTCACCCCATTTTAAATGGGGTAGGAGAAGGACTGAAGAGGAAATGTCTTGACACTTGACAGCAGTTTGGGGTCCAGAAGAGACACACTACCTTCATCACATCACATGAGGGGGGTTTCCACTGTCGCCACATGCTCATGGTCAGATATCCTAGGGGCTGGGCCAGGCCTCCCATCTGTTCCAGCAGTGGTGGTGGGCAGGGCCTCCAGGGCTGTGGATCCTGTGCTCCTAAGATTCTGGGGTCCTGTGCTGGACAGCTTTAGTGTCAACTTGACACACCTGGGTTGAGGGAGCCTCAGTTGGGGAATTGCCTCTATTGGACTGGCCTGTGGCCATGTCTGAAGGGCATCTTCTTGATGAGTGATGTGGGAGGGCCCAGCCCACTGTGGGTGGTGCCACCCCTGGGCAGGTGGGCCTGTGTTGCATAAGAAAGCAGGCTGAGCAGGGGCCAGGGGAGCAAGCCAGTAAACAGTGTTCCTCCATGGCCTGTGCTCCAGTTCCTGCCTCCAGGTTCCTGCTGAGTTCCTACCTGGCCTCCCTCAGTGATGAACTGTGATGCAGGAGATATAAGCCAAATAAACCCTTTCCGCCTCAAGATGGTATTGGTCAGAGTGTTTTGTCGCAGCAATGGAGAAACAAACTAAGACAGTAATTGGTACCAAGAATGGGGTATTCCTGTGACAGACCTGACCTTGGTGTTTTAGGGAGGACTGTGGAAGTGTTTGGAACTTTGGGCTGGAAAAGCCATTGCGTGCTCAGTTTGTTGCTGTGGAGCTTGGAACAGTTACACTGAAAGAGTTGTAGATGATGGAGTCCTGGCTTGTGAAGCTTCAAAGGGAAACGGAGACTATCAGGGCTGTTCGTGTGAGATTTTGGATTGAGAATCTGTGGATTCTTGTTGTCTGGAGCTGAAGAATCAGCTCTGATTAAGAAGAGACCAGACCCTGAAGTAAAACCTTTGCTTTACTGGGACAATTGATGCTGGTTAGCTGGGGCTGAAAAATCAGCTATAAGTAAGAAGAGACCAGCATCACTATGGTAAAATCTGGGAGGTATTTCCTTAGGATCAGCACACAGAGGGGACCTGAACCTCCATCTCTAGCTGGAAGCAGGACTTGGTAATGTATAAGAGTCTCCTGCATTGTTCTGGTGTTGAAAGTGTGAAGGGGTCACAGAGAACAGCTGAGGCTTGGCACTCTGAGAGGCCAGGAAAGGCCATGGGTGAAAGTGCAGCTTCAGTTGCAGTGAAGACCCCAGGATCGAAGGGGTCAGGTCATGGAGAGAATCTGAGGCTTTGCACCCCAAGAGGCAAGAAGAGGCCATTGGTGAAGGTGTAGCCTCAGTTTCAATGGAGACCCCAGCTTTTTGGAGATGCCGGGACCATGGGACAACCACCAAGGACAGCGGCAGGTGTGGCATGGAGCTGGCCTGGGTCTGTGAGATGAGCTGAGTGTGCTGTGGATGGCAGAGTCAGAGCAGTGGAACTGCCATTACCCTTTGGAGCCCAGAGGATCGTGTGTGAATCCCAGACAGATGTCCAGCCTCGAGCTACTTTGCTGGGCTTTGGTTTTGCTTGGTGTGCCCGATTCTTCCCTTTGAAATAAGACAGTACTTGTTTTGGATTTTATAGGAGTACACAGTTAAGAGACTTTTAAAAGAAACTATGAACTTTTAAGTGTTTGGATTTTTTTAAGGACTGTGGGGTTCTTAAGGTTGTACTGTCTTATGTTGTGATATTAATGTTAACATCATGTCTTGGGGACAAAAATTGGAAAGTTTATGGTTTAATAGTGATGTTTGTGTGTCAAGTTGACAAGGGGTCAATTGTGCTGGATAGCTTTAGTGTCAACTTGACACACCTGGGTTGAGGGAGCCTCAATTGGGGAATTGCCTCTATTGGACTGGCCTGTGACCATATCTGAGGGGCATCTTCTTGATGAGTGATGTGGGAAGGCCCAGCCCACTGTGGGTGGTGCCACCCCTGGGCAGGTGGGCCTGTGTTGCATAAGAAAGCAGGCTGAGCAGGGGCCAAGGGAGCAAGCCAGTAAGCACTGATCCTCCATGGTCTGTGCTCCAGCTCCTGCCTCCAGGTTCCTGCCGAGTTCCTACCTTGGGCTCCCTGATGAACTGTGACCTGGGAGATGTAAGCTGAATAAACGCTTTCCTTCCCAAGTTGCTATTGATCAGAGTGTTTTGTCGCAGCAATGGAGAATCAAACTAAGACAGGTCCCATGACTTACCCTGATGCGGAGCAGTAGGTCTGCGTACCAGGCTCCCAGGCCCATCATGGAGGGGTAGGCCCGGGCCACCCATGTCTTGGGCACAGTGTCATAGAACAGAGCAGTGGATAGGTCCTCCATGTCAGTTGTGATGGTCAGCTCCCCCTAAGGAACGGGATCAGGTTTGGGGAGCTATGTGCTTAGGATGGCAGAGAACCCCCACATTCCTAAGACCCCCAACCCCGCCGTGTGTCCCGAGTCATCGGCACGCTGTGGTTTTGTGTGGCATCTCCAGAAATCCTGGGTCTGGCCAGCCAGGCAGCAGTTAGCCTCCGTGGAAGACTCCCGATCAGGGGACGAAGGGGTCGGGTGGTGGCACAGCAAATCTCCAGGAACCAGCCAAGGTGGACTAGTGCCCCTCTGCAGACCAGCCCTGTGCCCATGTCCTGGATGGCCCTCAGTTTTTACCTTCAGCCCCAGGTTCAGCTCCTTCAGTGAGCGCCGCATCTCATTGGTCAGGATGTTCATTCGTTCACATTCTTGGAAGGCGACGACCACGTAGGGTGTCTTCTTAGCAGCTTTCGCCATGATCTCAGCCATGTTGAAGGTTTCTGGAATCTTCTCAAGGATCTCATCCAGCACGGCCTTCACCTGGAAGCCCCAGCAAGCCCCTGTCAGGGCATCTTGACCAGTGGAGAGACTGGAGCCCCGGAGGGCAGAGGCCAGTGGGATGGTCAGAAACACGATGACACAGCTGCCTTTGACAAGGGCTGCCCCATGGCCAGGGTCGCCCAGTGTATCAGACACAGGTTCTCCAGCTTCTTGCCCTCCATTAGATCGCCCCCTATGGGCACAGGCCTGTGATTCTGTCCTCTGTGGGGACTGTGTTGTCATTGCCCCCCAACTACCCTTACTCCATACAGAGAGGCCCTCTGTGGTCACTTATGATTCTGTCCTCTGTGGGGACTGTACCAGCACGTACACACACACACACAGTGCCCTGCCATGGGTGATCACTGTCCTCTGTGGGGATTGTACCATCACTATGTGCACACACACACACACACACACACACACACACACACATGCACACACGCAGTGGCCCACGCCCATAGTGATCACCACCATCCATCAGTATTTTTTTTTTTTTGAGACCATGTCTTATGCTATGCTTCCCAGCCTGACTCTGAACTTGAGATCCTCCTGCCTCTCATGTGCTGGGATTACGGTGGTGGATGTCAACCACACACGGCTCATCGGATTTCTGATTTCAGTCATTAGAGCCTGCTATCTGGAGCCTGATAGCAATTAGGGACTTTTGATCTCAATCTTGGTCTGTTTCCTGCTGCCCAGTCCCACACTTAGCTGACTTGTAATAGAACTTTCCCGGGATGTGTGAGAAAGTGTGCAGGTGTCAAGAGTCTCCTGGGGTGACCTGAGGTGACCCAGGCAGCCGAAAGCCTGTGCAGTGAGTGCTCTAACACTCAGCCTTTCTGACCATGTGCTGGTTAGTGGGCTGTGCCTGGGCTATCCTTTGAGCTCCCTGTCCTGGGAAAACCACCCCTGCTCCCCCAAAGTTCTGTGCTCCAAATACTAGGCCAGCGACACCTGGTGACCAGTTTGTAGGCCACCCTCACCCCCATCCCAGAGCTTCTAGCTTCCAAGGCTGGAGGACAATTGCACAGGTGCTAGCCCCAGCCAGGGCTACACAGTGCCACCCCCTCACCTGCCCACCCCTGTTCCTGGGGACATCCTAGGCCCTACCTTCTCTTCTCGGGACATGCCTGTGCCTGCTCCCGAGTCTGTCTCTTTGGGCTGCATTTCCAGGACGGTGCGGAACAGTTTCTCTGAGGTGACTGTTAGGAAGCCGATCTCTGCGTTGGGGTGCAGGCCGTACAGATAGGGACTCTCGGGGGGCAGGTTCTCATCAATGTATTCATGGTAGCCCTGGAGAGAGGAGCTGGTTTGTAAGCAGGCTGCCCAGGTCCTGCCATTGACTAGGTATCTCCTGTGCTCTGTGCAGTCCTACCCCCCCCCCCCCCCGGAACATAAAAAGGAAATCCTCACCCCTCCCCAAGGCCACACACACTGCTTTGCACTTTGGGCAGTTGGATTCTTGCTCTGTTACTAGATGGCCTTTTTTAAAAATAATAATATTTTTTTTTGTCTTTTTGTCAGTTCTTTTTTTTAAACAGGGTCTCTCAAGTCACAGCCAACCTGGAAGTCACAATGTGAACCAGGGTAGCCTCGATCTCTCAGGGATCCACCTGCCTCTGCCTCCCGAGGGCTGGGATTAAAGGCGCATGCCACCACACCTGGCCAAAAAATATTTCATTTCATTTTATTTATTTTTTTTGTTTGAATGCTCCCATGTGGTGCAGTGCCCACAGAGGTCAGAAGAAGGCATCAGATCCCAGGGAACTGAGTTACAGACTGTTGTTAGCAGCCATGTGGGTGCTGGGATTCGAACCCAGGTCTTCTGCAAGAGTAGCCAGTGCTCTTTAGCCACTGAGCCATCTCTCCAGCCCCTTGTTTTAGAGACAGGGTCTCATGTAACCCAGACTGAACTCAAACGGGCTACATTCAACTCCAGAGCCTCCTGTCTCCACCTCCAGCTAGGATTACAGACATGAACCACCATGACAGGTTTATGCAGTGTTGGAGATGGACAAGCACTTCACCAACTAAACCACATCCCCAGGCCCTGACAGGCTAACAGAGCTCCCCTCACACGGATCTAGCCAGGATGGATTGGCCTTTGCTCCCGTGGTCACAGAGTGAGCCCCCAAACTGGCCCTCTGCTCACCTTGTAGTCCAGGTTGGGGGGGATCTGGAACCCGGGGGCCAGCAGCACCTCGCCTTCCAGCAGCTCCACCCGGATGTACTCTGCTAGGTAGGTCCTGCACAGCCGGCGGTCCCAGTCATCTGTGATGTGGCCGCCGTACATGATCTCACCAAAAAGGTAGCGGAGGTCATCCCAGGGCACCTTAGGAAGCAGAAGGCAGTTATGAGAAGATGGTGAGACTGGGCAGTCAGCATGGCTCGGCAGGGCCTGCCCCCAGGCTGCTTGCTGGGGTCCCCAAGGGGCACCTTTCCCTCCTCCAGCCCCACAGTGTCCGACCCCGAGGGCTGGCCCCTGTGAGCTTTCTGGTCTGGCTCTTGCCCCAGGCATCACAGGCCACCTGTAACCCCCGACTCTTGTCTTGCCCCCCAGTCTGTCCTGCACATGGCAGTTGAATTCTCGGAGGTCGGTGCCGGACCCCCCACATCTTCCTTTGGCCAAATGTTTAGTCAGTCATGTGTCCAACACATCCCTAGTGGGTCACTTGACCCAGCTGTACCGGTCCTGGCTTTGCTATTTGGTCACTGCACCAGCTCTCCTGGATGGAGGGTTGGAGTGTTTGTGGGAGCAGGTGTGCACTGCGCAAGTCCAGCCAGAACCTTGGCTTCCTGGGGCTTCCAGAACAAATGCCAGGCTCTGAGACCTGCGCACAACCTGCACCAGCTCTCCTGTGGGGTCCAGTGGGTTTCCCCGGCCCTGCCTCTGCCTCCCCTCAGCCCACCCTCTGGCTGTTGCTCTCACTTCTCAGCCTGCTTTGCTGCAACGCTCGCCGGTTTTCAGATCCTGGCTCCTGTGTCTTCTCACCCACAAACCTAGGAGCTGCTCTGTGGTGTGTGGCCCGCTCTGCCGCCCACAGCCGGCCCGAGGGCAGCCAGGAGCCACAGGTGGGAGCCACGAGCAAAGTTTAGCTTTCATTTTCTGGCGGGCACTTTTAAGCGCAAGGCTCGTCTCAACCTGTAACTGGCATCTTATTCCTGAGACACTGCCTTGTGGCCAGTCCCGAGCCTGCAGACCTCTCTGTGGCTCCCACTGCCGGGTGGGCAGCCCTGCTGTAGGGCCCAGTGCCCACGCTCGCTTGGCTGGCCCCCGCTTTCCTTCTTGTGGATTTTCCCCAAGGATGGCGTGACTTTTCTGTGACCTCAGCTGTGCTGCTTAGGAGAGCTGTTAAGTTCCCATGAAATAATCCATCGACCATTTATCTAGCTCGAGAACTGTCACTCAAAACATGCCTGGGGGCTGGAGAGATGGCGACGGGTTAAGAGCACTGACTGTTCTTGACCTGGTTTCAGTACCCAACATCCCAGTGGTGGCTTACAAACATCTGTAACTCCAGTTCCAGGGAATCGGACACCCTCTCTGGCCTCTGTGGGCATTGCACACAGGGGTGCACTTAAATACATGAACAAAACTCTCGTACAATAAATACTTCTTAAAAATCTCTCTGCTCAGGGCTGGAGAGATGACTCAGTGGTTAAGAGCACTGGCTGCTCTTGTAGAGGACCTGGGTTTGATTCCCAGCCCCCAGACGGTGGCTAACAACCATCCGTAACTCAGTTCCGAGGGATCTGAGGCCCTCTTCTGACCTTCACAGGCACTGCATGACACAAGTACACTTACATTTAGGCAATACATTCATACACATAAATTATTTTTTAAAATCTATCTGCTCTGAATTCTCATTTAAAAAAATCTGTGGAGAGAGAGAGAGAGAGGAGAAGAGAGACTGTGTGTGTGTGTGTGTGTGTGTGTGTGATGTATGTTGTATGTTTGTGTGGTGTATGTGTGTGTTCCCTGGCCCCCGAGCTTCTGGGGAAGTCTGTCTGTACTTCCCACCTGGCTGAAGGAGTGCGGAGGTTACATGGGAGGTTACCTTCCCATGTCTGGCTTTACATGGGTATTGGATCTGAATTCAGGCTGGCACAGTTGTATGGCAAGAGTGGTCCCCTCTGAGCCATCTCTGCCCCTGAACTGCCATCTTCTGACTCCAAAGCGTTTCTCTGCTGGGTCTTCTCAAGTTTCTGCTGAGCAGCTTCCGTGCTTTTTAAAGGAAGGGGGAGTAAGCCCCACTCAGCTCTCTGCCCCACTGTTGCCTCGTGGCTCAGCCAGGGGTCAGGTGGCTCAGGTGGTCAGTCACCTGTCTACAGAATCCCCGCGGTGTTCCTCAGAGGGACAGGCGACAAGGCCTTTTTGAAGATAGCTATGGACGGTCCATAGTGAACCCACCTGACTGGACCCTCCTTCAGGTGTCCTGAGCCACACTGGCCACTAGCAGTGACCACTTAGCATCAGGCAGGACCTGTGTCTTGAGGGAGAATGTGGGGCTGAGAGTCTGCAGAGGGGACAGTGCCCCCTGACCCTTGAGCTCTGGTGGAGGAAGGTCAGCCAGTGTAGGCTCACTGGAACACGGGGGATGCCAGGACATGCCTGTCACCACGGGACATGACAGTCTCAGCAGCTCGGAACCCTTGTGCTAGCATGGGGAAGGGTGGACTAAAGGTCTTCACAAAATCCTGGTAAGATTGTCCTGCCCCTAGTCTTCCCCACAGAGTTCGCTTACAGTTGTCATAGATGAAATATACCAAAGGACTGTCCCATTGCCCACAGGGGTGATTATGTCCCTGCAGGCAAGTGGCACCTCCCCTGAGCCTTCCAGGCCGGGCAAATAACTAGGATAATGAACTGTGCCCCAGGCTTGTTGCCCTGACAGCAGGCTTGAACTGTATCTTCTTGCCCAGACTCTGCTGGCTTCCTAGGTGTGGGGAGGGAGGGTCTTGACCTCAGGCTAGCCCTTCCCGCTGGACCTTCTCAGGCTGCCCACAGGGACTGTCCATCTCTCCAGGCCCTGGGCTTAGTGTCTTTCCATCCTCCTGGCCTTTCACCCACATTTGCCCCCCCCTTCTTTCTCTCTCTTTTCTTCCCTCCCTACCTCACTGGTCTCATGCATCCCAGGCTGACCTTAGACTTGCTTTATAGCTGAGGATAACCTTGAACTCCCCATCCTCCTCCCTCCACCTCCCAAGTGCAGAGATGACAGACTTGTGGCACAGTGCAGGTGCGGGTGCCACTCACTGAGCTTTCCTTAGACGTGGGAGTGGAGAGTCCCATGAAATTCCCTGAGATTCGCTTCACAAGCCAGGCTGACACTTCGTTCTCCTCATCTGACCCCTGGGGCTCTGAGGCAGAAGGTCACCCCTGTTCTGTCTGAGGAAGCAGGCTCAGAGAGGTTTTGAGTGAGAGCTGGCTTCAAAACTACTCCCTACTGTGACCCGGGGTGGGGCTGGGCCCAGGCCTCCCTGCCAGGTTCTCTGCAACTCAGGCTCACCCGCTGTCCTGCACCACACACTGCCTGGCTCCCTCTTCCCTCCCAGTCTGTGAGAGAGCACGTGGCGCTTTGTTTTCTTGGGAGCCACTGTCTCTGTTGGTGTTGAATTTGGGGGCCAAACAAAAGCTGAGTCTGGTGTGCGTGCAGCTTTCACTGGGCACCGATGACCATACAAAGCTGGAGCACTGCTCGCTCCAGCACACAGATGGCTGGACAAGCCTCTAGGCCTTACAGATGGAGCTGCCACTCAGGGAGGGGCCCCATCCAGTGAACAGTAGAGCTCGCATTCAAATCCCACAGTCTGGTACTGGACCTGTGTTCAAGCTCCAGGCCGCATGTGACCCCAGTCTGTATCCAGCCCAGCCCCTGCTGGTTTGCAGTCTGACCCCCATACCCTGCCTGCTAGACTCAGTTTCCAGTATTGGGAACGGAACCATTGTTCATGCTAGGCAAACGCTCTGCCACTGAGCCACATCCCTGGCTTTGGTTTTGTTGGTTTTGGTTTCTGTTTTAGTATCTGAGACAGGGTCTCTGTAGCCCCAGATGGTCTGCAACTCACTATGTAGACCAGGGTGGCCTCAATCTCACAGAAATCCACCTGCTTCTGCCTCCTGAGTGCAGGGACTAAAGGCATGTACCACCACCACATGTACTAAAGCTCCTAGCTTTGGTTTTAAGACAGAGTCATCCTTCTCTAACCCAGGCTAGCCTCAAACTTGAGATCGTCCTGCCTGGGCCTCTTGAATGCTGGGATTACAGGCATGTGCCAGCACACCCGGCTGACTTCTGCATCTTTTTCTGCCCTCGTTCACAGTTTCGGAGATTATTTCCATTTGTTGTGAGGACACAGAGAAGGCTCTTCTTCTAAAGGGATCTTTAGGGACATGCCTTTGGACACTGGTGAGCCCTGCACCTGGGAAATCCTGCTTACTGCCCAGACCCTGCCTGTGCCTCCAGGCACTGGGCTTTCTGGGGGATGAGGTGAGAGAAAGCTCACAGCTGGGGCAGGTGGGGGGCCGGGCAATAACTGCCGAGTGATGTTGGTGGGTCGTAGAGAGCCTGTGTCTTCAGATTTCTTCTGGCTTATGGAACCATTTGGCATCTTTTAAGTATAAGACAAAGATCTACTAGAAGGAAGGACAGGAGAGAGGAAAGGATGGATGGAAGAGATAGGCAAGCCAGGGAAAGCTTAGCAAATGGGGACTCCATTATGGCTTGGGCTGTGCACAAACCTCTCTCCTAACAACACCTGGCAACCTGCCCTTTGACAGTCAATTTCCATTCAAACATATTTCAGAACATATCTGTGTATGAGAGGCAGGGGGCCAGTCCAACCTGAACTAGTTTTCGGTGTATGTGCAGTAAGGCAAACTGTCCTCTGAGTGAACTCTTAGGGAAGACCCTATCTACCATCTGATGCCTATGTATAATTGGGTATGCACATGATTAAAGTCAGATGCATCAAGGGAAGAGACATATGCACTAGAGAGATATAACCCAAGCCTGTCAATCAAAACAGAGACCCAGGGACTGGAGACACGGCTCAGCGGTTAAGAGCACTGGCTGCTCTTGCAGAGGACCTGGGTTTGGTTCCCAGCACCTATATGGCACCTAACAACCATCCGTAACTCCAGTTCAGGGGATCCGAGGCCCTCTTCTGGCCTCCTCCGGCATTGCATGACAAGGGAGAACTTAAATGCATGCAGGCAAAACACTCATAAAGATAAATTTTTAAAAATTAAAAGGCTAAAGAACCATCCACATTCTTCCCTTTACAACCAGCTCCTCCCGTTCCAAAGGAAGGCCTCAGACGCAAACCCAGCCTGGGGCCTTTGGGTGTTCTGACCCAAGGAGCCCTCAGCTCATTTGCAGAGTATTTGATCTACATGGTTGCTTTGCTTTCCAACAGAATTTCTAGCCCTTCTTCTGTCTGTCTGCTTTTTCAGTTCTTTGAATAGATGTCAAGAACCTGGAGACACCTTGGCCCAGGTAGTGACGAAAAAAAATTATGTCTCCCCCATTCTGGATGGGGAGGGTGGCTTGGAGTATGTGGGTCGGGACACCTCACCTTGGGGTTGGCCTCCAGGTAATTGTAGAGCACGTCGGCGGAGATGGTGAGGTCCCCGTGGTTGAAGGGGTATGACCGGTTCCAGCCCTGGGCACCGAACTTGCACCTCTCGGCCACCACTGCGTGGAAGTAGCACAGGGCGAAGAGGATGCACTTGAACTCGAGCTCCTTGGTACACATCTCCAGCGTGTCCTGTCAGCGGCCACCAAGAGGAAGCGGAAAGGGTGACTGCACAGACATGTCCCCAGTGCTGCACAGCCCAGCCTCTGACCTGACCTGATCCAAACCGGCCACCGGGACGCCTGTCTGAAGACCCAGGGAGGTGCTTCCTCTGATTCTTTCAGAATATAGTCTTTTTTTTTTCGTTTTCCATTTTCATGTGTGTGGTGTGCATGCATGTATGCATGTTTTACATATGTGTGGGCAGACGTGTGTGCATTTGCACATGGAGGTCTGGGGTTGTTGGGAACCACCTTCTGCCTTGTTCACTGAGACAGGGACTCTCAATCAAACCCAGAGCTCACCCATCTTGCTAGTCTCAAGAGCTGCCAGGTTGGTCTAGGGATCCCGTCTCTGCCTTCCAAGGCTGGAATTACAGATGTGCTACCAAGCCCAACTGGCATCTGTGTGGGTTCTGGGGATCTGAACGCCAGTCAAAACATTTTTAAAATTTATTTTTATTTTATGAGTGTGTTGCCTGCATGTATGTAAGAGCATTTGTGCATGTAATGCCCACAGAGGCCAGAGGAAGGCATCAGATCCCTGGAACTGGGGTTACGGCTGTTAGCCACCTTGTGGGTGCTGGAACTGAACCCTGGTCCTCTGCAAGAGCAGTCAGTGTTCTTAACCGCTGAGCCATCTCTCCAGCCCCTAGTCAAAACATTTTTAAAATTTATTTTTATTTTATGAGTGTTTTGCCTGCATGTATGTAAGAGCATTTGTGCATGTAATGCCCACAGAGGCCAGAGGAAGGCATCAGATCCCTGGAACTGGGGTTACGGCTGTTAGCCACCTTGTGGGTGCTGGAACTGAACCCTGGTCCTCTGCAAGAGCAGCCAGAGCTCTTAACTGCTGAGCCATCTCT